TCCGCAATGGAGCCGGGCTGGGAATGCGGCGCTGCCCGAAGCGACGCCTCAGCCGGGCAGCGCCGGGGAGAGGGACGCGCGGGGGCTTCGCTCCGCAGCAGGAGGAAGGGGCGGCCGCTGCCTGTGGGCGCCGCGCGCGGCCCTTGCGCTTCTTATGGCAAACTCCGTTTTCCAGGGAATGTTTCCCCTTTCCTAAACAATCCTCCTCCCCTCCTGCTGTGTCCGGAGAGACCTGATCCATACAAAGCTCCGTGTCCTCTCTCATCCCTTGGAGTTCCCTTCTCCCGTTGCTGACCGTGGCTTTCTTTTCCAGTTGATTGGCTTGGGTCCCCACAACCCCAAGAAGAAGCAAGACCTAGAGAAGCTTTATGATCTAAAAGCTAAAGCCCAACAGATTATGAACCAGTTTGGCCCCTCTACCTTGATCAACCTCTCCAACTTCTCCTCCATAAAGCCGGAACCAGCCAGCACTCCGCCGCAGAGCTCCATGGCCAACAGCACCGCGGTGGCCAAGATGCCGGGGACGCCGAGCGGAGGAGGGCGGCTCAGCCCCGAGAGCAACCAGGTAACCCCATCCCTGGCTGCGGGGCCTCTGGGTTGACTCCTCTCCTTGGAATCGTTGGGAAATACTTACTAACAGAGGGTCGAGCTCTGTTCTGAGCGAGCTGTCGTCTTCATGGAGTAGCTGGGATCTGCTCTCCGGTCAAAGCTGCCAGGGATGCTTGGAAATAGCCGCTCGAGAGCTGATCCCACTGCAACGTGACCTGCTGTGCTCACCTGTGCCACGTGGGCTCGGCAGAGGTCCGGGCTCTCCTGCAGCTCTGCTGGGGCAGCTGCTTTGCTGAGGCAGGGCTGTGAGTTCTTCTTTCCTTCCCCGCACACAGGTGTTAACCAAGAAGAAACTGCAGGACCTGGTGCGCGAGGTGGATCCGAACGAGCAGCTGGATGAGGACGTGGAGGAAGTAGGTACCCCAGGAGCTGCCGCAGGGCTTCCCGGAGCAGGGCCCCCTTGGCAAAG